ACCATTACTAATCTGCCCGGGGAAGTCTTCAGTCAGCTGCAGTCCACTGTGCATCGGTTTCTTTTCCTCCAGTATTTCCTGTCAAGGCGTTTAATTAACCGATAATGAAAGCAACTGTCATGAACAGGGGATTTGTGACTCAGCTCTTCATGTGCTCAAGTCTTGCGTCAGCCTTTGCTTCATAGCTGAGTCTAATCGTGAAATATTTTTAAATGAGGATATGCTGCATGTGGCCATTTCAGGAGTATTTTAGAATCTCTCTCAGTTTGTACCATTTGTGTGTATGTGTGCACATGTTGATGCTTTGATCATTTGTATGCCCCTGCATCACCTGTATGTTTAATTATGTTTATGTTGCCGCAGAGCTAGAATTCAAACATTATTTTACATTCCGACCTATTATGGGTCAACACTTGATCAGGGATGTTTTTAAATGTAATTGAGACCGGAAAAATACATGAGTTAAGAAGTTATTTATTAATCGCACACGCAGCCTTTTTACATGAATACCCTACATACTTTACTGCCTGGTGTTTCTGGTGATGGACAGGTGGATGAGGTGTGAATCATTCTTCTGTCTTCTTTCTGTCTGTGCTGCTGTTATTGATCATGTAGTGACTGAAATGTCTCCTCTCGATCAATATTTACTCTAGATCAATATGTACAGGCAATTTGCTGCTATGGATTCATCAGGTGAGAAACGTGGGAGGGTTAAGGGTTCTAATGTGTCAGATGTGTGATGTTTATATTTCAGTTCTGGAAGAAAGTAGGATTTGATGCAAATAGAGGCAGGGTAAGATTTATACGAGAAACCTGATACTGCAGTAGTTGTTGCATCTGCTTTGCTGTTTTAGTATTTGGTTGGAATTTTCTTTATCCCCTCTTCTGAAGATTAGATTCAGGTTAGTTTTTCTAGTCCCATTCTTGAGGCTGTCATTCGATTTGATAACCTCCACTGCCACCACGACACCAAAGCCACGGCCTCGTGTTAAGAAAACATAGATGAAGTCCCAGCTGTTCAACTGCAACACATTCATTTGCAATGGATGCTAAGCTCTGCATTCTGCTTGTTTTCAGATGGTTTGGTAGGTGCTCAGTATTATGACCACATTTCTGATGCAGCACAGAATTTAAAAAAGGCATTGTCCCATTTAAAGTCTCTGCCGTGTAACGCCTGAGGTCGTCTCTCAGACGCTGCCAGGGGGTGAAATCTGAAATCTGTTTTTTTCCCTTTAAATTTTAACAGCTTCAGTCTCCGAATTCCATGACAATATAGTCAAGCAATAAACAAGCAGGTGACTTAGTTTGACATATTTAGCTCCTGTAATAAAATGTAATCTTAGGGAAGGTTGTAGAGCTGTGTTGTTTAGTCTTCTTCATACCTTGTGCATTGTACCATTTCTTTGCAAGTAACTCACAACTGTAGATCAGATGGATAGTTGTTAACTATTGGCATGAATGGGTTTTCCCAGCTGTTTCAATGTGTGTTATTGTGTATACAGGTTCTTTTTGCACTGGTCATGGTCATGGAGGCCATGGTCCTTGGACCGTGCAGTTCGAGTACGACTACAACCCTTTGCCCCTTTCCCTCGTTGCATTCCCCGCTCTCTCTCTCTCTCTCTCTCTCTCCCCCCAGTTTTTTACTCTGTCCACTGTCCAGTCTACTAAATAAAGGCACAAAGAGCGCTAAAATGAAACTTTAAAAAACAATCGATACAAAAATGAAATGAACTGGCTTATAAAGCTGAGAAAAGTGACTTTTTATAGGTAAACTGTGTTTGCATGCTTTTGAACGGCAAGTAAGTAAATGATAAACATATGATGTATATTTCACATCAAATGTAAGGTTGTACAACTTGCCCTAAAGTAGGTTTCTACTGATGTATTCATCCTTTCTTTATGCTCTCAGGCTTCTCCAACGTCTTGATGAGAATTTTCATTAAAAGATGACCATGAAGTTGACCTTTTGACCTTTCTCCCCGCTCAGAAACACACACACAAACACACACGGACAGACATACAGACCTGCATTCATGAGACCATTAAGGTCAAAGAGGCAACCGCTCTCAGAAGCTGTTGTGCACTGGAGGCTTTTTACCCCTCTGTGTGCTTTCCATGCTGAAGTGTGAACAGTTCACACGTCCCTGCAGATGAAAATGGCTGACCTCTTCAGCAATACTGTGATTCAAACCAAAGAATGAGAAACATCAGCAGCAGTATTCAGAGACCTTTTCTTTGGTTAAAGTACACACATTGAAACTAAATCATGCTGCTCTCTCTGCTCGAACACTGTGTTCAGTGTTGATGCTATATTTAAACACTAATTGTAGGTTTTCTATTGTAATGACTATCATCAGGTCTCTTCCATTTTCTACTTTACCTTTCTTTCTTTAATTTTGTCCTGTCAGCATCGCATCTCTCTATTAAAAGCAACCTTTACTCCTCTTATTGTCTTAATGCCCGTCATCCTTTTAGCTGCCTCTTGTACTCACTCTGCAGGAGCTGTAATGAACCTGTAGTTAGCTGTTAAAACCATGTGCATTTTAGACTAAATAGCCCCCAGCGTCTACCCGCCTGCTGTTGAAGCTTACGGCCAATGGGCCTGCAAATGACCTAATTTTCTATCTGCCTCCTGGGGGAGCTTTTAGAGGAGCTAAAAGTTGGTCACAGCCTGCAGAGAGTGAAGATCAGGAAAGACTTTAATTCATGTGGAGCTCTGCTTTATACACATATTGCTATCACTTAAATCGCCATGGGTTATAGCCACACATAAATGTATGAGGGGGATAATGGTGTAAAATTGCACACAAGATGATTTAAAAAGCTTTTCTATGAATGCTCATTACTTTTAGCATAGTTTAGGATTATTGTCATTGTGTTACATCAAGTCCCATATCAGAAATCAGAAATCCTCAGTGATTGACACACCGAGCTTCATGTCTGAAAAGTATAATTAATGCACTGACTCTGTGTGTTTGTGTGTGTACAGAGAATGCAGGGCGAAAACCTCTCAAATCAGACTTTGTTTGTTTTCTTTTGAGATTGAAGGATTGGATTTATTGGACAAAACAAACAAGTTGACGACATTAGCATTTTTTTTGTTTGAATTACTAAAGAAATTGTCTATGAAAAATATTAAGTTGAATAGACATTTAATGAAAGGTTTTCCAAAAATGATCAGCTTAATGCAACAGTTTTAATTGTTTCTAACATTTTTTGTCATCTTTTTAAGACACAAACAAGAACAATGATTCACCTTTATTGAACTCAGACTGTAACACAGTGTATCCTTTTCTATCAGTACTGTGGTCACTGCAGTTGGTGTCCTGTAAAATGTTTAGAAAGTGCTATAAACGTCTCACCACCATCCCTCTTGCTCCACTTTTTGTCCTGGAAAGTGTCCTAGGTTAATGGGGTTGTGTTAGTTAACAAGGCTGTGAAGTCTGTTTCAGTAGCATTATCACAGCCCCACACAGACGGTGAAGGTTTTATCAGGCCTCTGTGACGGCAGACAGCTCTGAAATTTGCCGCTCAGAGAGGAGGCAAAGAGTCAAATATCATCATTACACTCTGCCAGATGTGTCTGAACACTAGGAATAGCAATGTAGCTGTTGTTGTGCAGGCAGACACACGTTTGCCTACACAGATCACCTCCACAGTGAGCTCTGCCACCTCACCCTGTGAGGTGTGAAGTGGGTGCAGTGTGTCTCATTATGAACAGTTGTGTTGGCTTTGGCATGAGGAGAGTAAAGGGCAGCTCAGCTCAGCCAGCAGTCATAGCATTTTACAGGTTTGTCAAAGAGAAAGAGGTCAAGTAGAGAAGAGAATTAAAGAGCGTTTAGAGCTGTAAAATAGACCCCAGATGAGAGAATGAGCTGCTGCTGGATTTATGATTTGTTCATGTTGACTTTACTTCAAGGTTTTTATTATGGGATCTAAATGTGTTTTCTTTATTACGCAACATTTGGCAGGAAACCATGAGTCTGCGGTTGTGAGTAAAACGTGAGAGTGTATTTTTTGTCCTAAGTCGTTTTAGATTTTTCCAAGGTCTGGTAGCAGAACATGTGGCAAATGTCTGATAATATCCAGATTTATGCCTCATGCCATGCTAATCTAGTTTTACACCGCATTATCTCTGACTCTGGCTTCTGATCTTTCTTTGAAGTACTCATTGTTGTTCATTTTGTGTAGGTACATGAATCCATATCTATTTTGTAATATGTGAGCAAGACTCCAAACATATGTGACAGGTTTTTCTTTCTCACTTGCAGCATTTTGAGCTAACAGGTCTCTGACATGTGAAGTGTCAAAAGGCCAGGCTGTTTTCGGCCACGTTGCAGAAACTGAACAAACAGCAGCATCAGGGTGAACAGAGTCTCAATGACAGTCTTGTTTAAATCACTGTCGTGTCAGGGGGACTGCAGGGTCACAGCGAGACTCCCTTCTCCGCTCCTCTCTCACATAAAACAGAGACTTAAAGGAACGATTTTAGAAGAAGGGAAGAGGATGGAGAAGCCGTTAGGGCACCGCTCAGCATGACCTTGAATCATGATGACTAAGAGGTTACAGACTAGTTGTCTGTATCTCTGCCAAATAAAATGCTGTGAAACGTATCTCGATGTATTGGATACAGTTTGAGTCAGAGACGATACAGTTTGAAAGGGAAACAGTCTCACTTTAGGTTGGTGAAGGGGGAGAAATAAAAATGTTTTCCAACTTCAGATAATTGATTTGAAGGTGATCTGTAAATCTTGTCGGCATGATTTATCTTCTTAGAGTTGACCTTTTATGGGACCTCAGAGACACTACTCAGAATTAGCAGACAAGCTACAGACCACTGACCCTTTTGACTAGAATTGGGCCGTCAACAGTTTTAGATCCGTCCAGAGGTCCATGTGTTGATGTACTTACATTGTTGAATGTTTAAACCAGTATCCTACTCGTATCAGTGATTGACTTCAAGCCTAACACTCGGTCTTCTCTCTGTGTTTTTTCTACAGAAGGGATCTGTAACATGACGATGGACTCCAACTCGATGACAATCCCCCTGTCAGACCCCAACGCCTGGGCTACAGCCATGAACAACCTGGGGGATGCCTCCAATGGGAATAACCGGACAGCAACTCATGCCAGGTAACACACTGACTACTGTTCAACACCGAAACCTGAACCACAGATTTTGTGTTACAGGTTTATTTCAGTATTTTGGTCAGTGCACTGTGGGATTATATCCTCTTCTGGAAATATTAAGGGAAGCACACTCAACACACACACACACACACACACACACGCACACGTGCAGGCCTGTCATATTTCAAATACGGTAAACTAAAACCTTACAGCTCAGGAGAGAGCAAAGTAACTACTTCCTGATTTTAAACTTTACTTGAAGTGTGTTTCTTCAGCAGATTTTATAACTTGTAATTTGAGGGAAAGAACAGGTGTAACTAATAACATTAATGATGTCTCTGTTCCAGTTTAAGCATGTGATTAAGCCATGCCAGCAGTGATACAGCATTAACAAAACATCAGAGCCTGATGAACTGGCCCACATGAGGGGAATGCAGCAATTAGTGAAGTTATTAGCTGCACCTGTTTGAGTCCAAATGTAACAAAGGTCAGTTAAACAGCTCTTATAATCAATCAGGCCCTCTGCCAGCTTTAGCCTGCAGTCGTACTTAAAAGCAGGTGCAAACACTGGTTGGTTCTGGACTTTGTTTGTGTAATTGGAGGGAAAACCTAGTAAGACCATTTTCACAGCAGACATTTTGACTTATCAAAGCAGGAGATACACTCAGGTCAAAACACTTTGTGTTAATGATGGCTTTGTTCCATCAAGTCTTCCAATCAGCCATGCCAGGGAGCCAACACACACAAAACCAAGACCAGGCACGAATATATGGACAGCACTAGACTTTAATTTAGTAGTAGTGTTTCCATCAACATGTTTTTTTGCACATCAACACACATGACTGACCACACTTATCAGTTTACCCTTGCTGTGTGCATCAGAATTATTGGATTAATGCTAATGTAACCTGACATGACAAAACAATTTAAGCTTGACTTTTTTAAGGTAATTCCTAATGACGTCTCTAGTTATTGGGTAAGACCGGGCATACACTGTAGATTGTGTGAATGTTGAGGTAGAATATAAAATCACACAATGATTGAAGCATTTACAATGAACAGCGGAAGCTCACACACTTTGCATTCACACTGAACGGTTCAATTGTCAAGCATGACCTGTGTGCTCTCACTGTACTTACACAGAGAAAGCAACTGAACTGAAACTCCTGAAAAATGCAAATCTCATTAACCGGTGCTCATTAGACATTAGTGAGTCATTTGTGCAGGCACCTCCTGCATATTGCACTGTTCTCCTTTCATAAAAAATAAAGACAAACACTGTACATCACAGAATAAGCCCTTTAAAGCTGTTTCCAACCTCTAAGTAAGGCTTTTAGACCACTGCAGCACTTATTTAATTTATAAGATCATAAAGTATATTTCTTTGCATTCAATTGATTCCCAAATCAAGACACTGGTAAGAATGTGACTGAGCTTAAGGTTAAATTAAACACAATCGAGTGAAACAAAAAAGCTCTGATCAGACAAAATCATGAACTGTCCTGAGTATGTTTCTCATGAGTGATCAGGGTGTTTTAGCCTCTGTTGTGGAAAGCCATGAGGTCTCAGGAGCCGTTTGTAGAGGCTGCCATGGAGAGGAGAGGAGGAGACAGTGATGGAGAGGGAGGAGAGGAGGGTTAATAGGACAGCTGTGTCTCCTCTAGTAGATCAACTGGAGTAACAGCTGGTGTTTCCTACCTTTCCCTCATCATCCCTTCTTTCCTAACTTCCTAAATAACCCAGACTCTCATTTATATATTGTAACAGCTGAGTCAGCAACTGTAACTGAGAGCTGCACTGAACACACACTGTTACTTTCTGAGCCCCTTCACACACTCAGACTCCTCTGAGTCACACTGAAATGATCATTTGTTCAAACAGAACAAAAACTGATGTTGAGACCCCTCCAACTGTAAAGTATGAAATATATAATTACTGTGAATGCTTAAAAAAACAATCATCTCCAATATGAATAGTAAAGATACTTCTGTTCTGATATGTATATTCAAGAAATGTTCTGCTGTGTTATCATCTCTCAACGCTAAAGTCATTTAACATATATTATTCACGGGCCTCTACTTTACCACATGCATACTTCACTTCACCTGGGCCAATACAACTTTTGTTGTTGAACCCCTGGAGAAATATGGAAGTGGGAGAGTATCCACTAAAGCACTCTTTTTTGCTTGTCACTTTGTCTCAGTTTACGGCACATAATTATATTTCTAAATTCAGCTATTATTCAGCTATGTAAGAAAGAGATGTACTTTGCCTTAAAAAAGTGGCATCTGTGCACGTCTGTTTTAGTTGCTTCTGTTTTTAGTTAATAGCCAAGTTTCCCAAAAATTCGCAGAGCACAAAGCTTGAGGCACACACTTTCACATGATGTCTCATGGGGTTTCTGTCACGCAGCTCTTGTTCTCAGAGCACCTTGTGGCTTTGAAGTTACTCCAGGTGGATGAGTTATTGATTCTTCATCATGACTGAACATCATCTTTGTCTCCCTTTTGTTTCACCTCCAAACAACAGCAGAAAATTCCCCATCACTCTCTTTGTTCCTCCCTGTTTAAAGATTTATTTTGGGGCTTTTTGCCTTTATTCAATAGGGCAGTGGATAGAGTAGGAAACTGGGGAGGGACAGTAGTGAAAGACATGCAGGTAAGGGGCAGCAGGTTGGACCCAAACCTGGGCTGCCCTCTTGGCGGACTATAGCCTCCATTCATGTGTCTCATGTCCTTTCATGTTTTATCTAAGAGGTTGCTGATTCATGGGTATAATTGGTTGTACGTTTCCATGTAGGTTTGAGCTGTTCTGTGTCTATCAATTTCTATCATTCATTCAGGAACTGTCTGTGCTGGACTGCTTTCATCATAAGTTATAGTTGGTCTCTGTTTCATCCTCTGTGTGTGAATGTGTTTCCTGCCTCCACCCAAGTGGATATTTGCAGACAGACAGCTGGATAAACAGACCGTTGTGAGCAGAGAATTCACCCCACTGCAGCCTCACATGTCTGGTACATGTTCTAATGATGACAGTTTTATTTCTATAGATGGTCTGGACAGTGACAGTGTTACAAAGTTATTCATGCATGTTTGTATTAGTGAGGTGTTCATAGAGGGAAAGATTTGACTCAGGCCAGACACTTGAATCTAGTTTGTAAGTACTGTTCTTCTGTTTTCAAGTTAAACCTGACTATTCTGCTTGTACAGAATGGATTGCATGTATGTATAGTCTGAAAGGATTTATCTGTGGCTTTTCCCACACTTGTCATTTCTGGTTTGGAGTTCTAGTCTTTTGGCTGAAAGACAGAGGGTGTTGTCATTTGGAGGTATTTTGAAGCCTTCTCAAGTAAATAAATATTTATATCTAAAATTCACTTGACTTGTATAGCCCTAGGTTTGCAGCAGTTTCTGACTCACCCAGAGCTGTCCCAACCAAAGAATGACCATAAAGTGGAAAAAAGAAACTAGAGAAGTGAAAACCCATCCCTCTTCAAAACTATAGGTTCTAAAGTGTCATAACAAATTAAAGATGTTTGACTGGATGAGTACGGCATAAAGCACACTCCTATATATTATGCGAACACAGTCGAAATTTAAACAATAACAACAGGAATCAACATCAGGTTTAAAGCCTGAAGTTAAAAGCCTTTCCAGGAGAATTTGCGATGTTTCCTAACACACCCCGAATATAAGCAGAACCAGATGGAGAGACACAGAGTTTGTCATTTGTACTCATTTTTGAGGAGTTTGAGTGATTTTATTGCAGCAATACCACTGGAACTACAAAATACATTAATGCACACTGGACATATGATATTATTTACTGTTAGTAGCTTGATCTTGTTGTCTTATTTTAAGAAAAACTTTTTGATCCAGCAGATGTCGCCCTTGAGCACCAGCATGAAAACAAAACGACTCACGATGCATTGTTGTGTTAGCATGCTAATGCTAGCGCTCTTTATTTTGCTCGTATCTTCACACTGCATGTAAATTTACACGAAATGACCGTGATCTTAAAAATGCTAACATGACATTCAAATAAGCAGTGAGTACAGTATGTTACTCTTCTTTTCTCTAGTCCCTCAATTAAACAACTTCTATATGTCCCTTCCATGTGAACACGCCTTAGATACGGCTAAGACAACATCACAGACAGCAGGACTCGGGTGTTACACTCATTGTAGACAGTCATGACTCAGAGTTATTTTCAGAGGATATACTGGATTTCTGCTACATTTAAGTGTGAAAATCACAGATTCTTCCTTTAAAAAGGTTAGCCCTAAGAAATAAAATTTAGAAAACAGAAAAACCAACAACAAACTTCTAAAGAGCAGAATACAATATATTTTTCAAAATACACACCGACCATACTTTTAGACTATACATGCGTATGTATGAGCAGTGTTGTTTCTTTACTTTTTATTCTTTCTCTTTAATTAACTTGTGATCCAATCTTACCTCTCAATTAGAGTTCATCACATTAAGAGCATTAAACACTGAACCACCTCTCAATGAAGCTTTGTGAAAAGTAGCAGTAAGGCTTGTTTTGGTACAAGAATTTCCAATTTTTGTGTTTGTCTCAGCTTGATAGTTTAGTGTGTCCTTCCTTACCAATAACTGCACAGAGTCCCAGTACCCACGCTTCATCTTCAGCTTGTGTAAGAGCAGAAATATTGCGTTATATTTGCTATTTTATTATTTAGAGCCAAAGCTTCTCACTGGATACTTGACACAGTGAAATGGTTAGAACCTAGAGAAATATGCTGCTCTACACACACACACACACACACACACACACACACACACACACACACACACACACACACACACACACACACACACACACACACACACACACACACACACACACACACACTCACTCTCAAGCACGCAGACACAAACACACACGCAGCAGACCCACACGCAGGCACGCAGACACAAACACACACACACACACACACACACACACACACACACACACACACACACACACAACACCAA